CATTTTTCAGCAAGTAAGTTACATCACATGTAAATGTGGAATTTTAATTCTTTTCTTCTATGATACTATTGTGATACTGTGTTATCACAATTTTATAGGATTTAAGTAAGTAAATTGCCAAAACTGCCCATAATGACCTTAAATCCTATACATACACCACTTACTTAATTGCTTGTAAGACACTTTGAATGATTTTCTATTCTATACATGTATGATGTATGCAAGAATTTTCTTGATGTTGATACCTAATACCTGTTATTCAAATACATGTATACCTATAGGTGCAATTAGATATATTGTTATTACTGAGATAGTCATTTATACATTTTTATCGATGTACATGCATGTACATGTACATATAGGTCTTTATGAGAGAGCTCTCAAAGAACAAGGAAGTGCTGATGTAGCGTATGCTCGTCTTATGTTACTGGGATCAGCTGGTACTGGCAAGACGTGTCTCAAGCGTTCATTAATGGAAGAACCTTTCAATCCTCATACTACAAACACCATTGTATCTGATGTATCGTCTGTACGACCATTTGGACACGAGTGGCAAACAATGAGAGGAAACAAATGGAGAGAAGCCACAGAAGAAGATGAAATTGAGGAACTTGCACATTTGTTTAAATCCAGTCGTTCTAATCCATCCTCACACCATGCATCTGAATCAAGTTTATATCATTCCCTTGATTTAGTTGATATTAGTTCAGATTTCGCTACAAAAACCTGTATTGATAAATTGCTTATAGGAGCTCATGCTCATAAGACAAGAGAACCACTTGTTCAAGTTAGTCATACATAATTATAATGTACCTTTTTTATATTAATTATACTTTTAGCCATTTCTTCATATATGGGATTGTGGTGGTCAGCCAGTGTTCCTTGAGATTCTCCCAGCCTTCCTCACTCCTCATACAATGTTTCTCCTCCTGTTTGATGCTTCAAAGGATTTCAGGGAAAGATGGCAGTCATGTCAGAATACTCCTGATGGTGAAGTGCTGTTTGGCGAGGTAGTGAATGAAAGCACAAGTGATCTAATGGCCAAATGGATGTCTGCAATACACAGTCACCTCATGAAGCACAACAAAGATGATACTTCCTCTCCTAGTCTCTATTGTATTGGCACTCATGGTGACATGCTAGATGAAGAAGGAAAGGAAAAAATAAAGAAGCAAATGCTGCTATTGTACCAGGAAAAAGAGTTTTCAAATCTTATTGAAGATGTGCTAATCATTGATAATACAACCTCAGGTAAAGGAGAAAAAGAAGATCCAAGCATTACAAAATTGCGTGGAGCAATCGATGATTTTATCAATAAATTAGTTGTCAAAACCCCTGTCAATTGGGTCCTCTTTCGTAAAGTTCTTCAAGAGCTTAAGCAGAATGTCATTAGTGTATCAGAGGCAATTGCCATTGGGGAAGCATGTCATATACCAGCACGTGATATTCCCGTAGTATTGAAATTCTACCATGAGCTGGGAGTTCTGCTTTTCTATCCCAAAATAAAAAGTCTGACAAAAAAAGTCATTCTCAGTCCAAAATGGTTTGTCGATACCATTGGGAAGGTGTTCCCACTAGAGAAAGGATGGAGTGTAGGAAAAAATTATTGGTTTTTGTTACAAAATAAAGGCATTCTTGTTCAGCCACTCTATCAAGAAGTATGGCAGTCAAGTGGTATTGATCCAGAAGAAATAATTGAACTTTTAGTTCATTTTCGTCTTGCAGCTCCAGTTCAAACCAAGCTTAGCAGATTCAAGCATTATTTTCTTCCAGCAGTGCTACCAGGATACACAGGTGATCCTAATGAAGTACGACCTGGTTATAAGCTAAGAGCCTCACCTGTACACATTACATTCTCCACTGGGTATGTACCTCCTGGCTTCTTCACTCGTTTAGCAACTGCTGTTGCTACTGATGCCAATGTTGAGCTCAATTTTGATAAAGATTATGCAGCACCTGACATTCATTCGAAATGCATTTATCGTAATCGCGTTTGCTTTTTTTATGGTCATCCTTCTGATGATTTTGTTCTCACTGATGTTAATAAAGCTATTCAAGTTGATGTGTTTCGATATGTACCTGAGAGTAGTCATCCAGTTCCTTTCAAAGCGGTTTGTCAGCAAATATTGGAGTTACTAAATGAATGTTGCCAACAAGTAGAAGACACCCTTGATATTTACCATCGTCGTGACCCTTACATGCTCCTTGGTCTTTATGCTTATGAAAAATCATCAAGAATAATAGAATACGTGTGTCAGTGCAGTCCTTCAAGTGAAGTCCATTATATTCAAGACATTGATCCTGTGAAGCAAACCTGCTCTCATCTTGTTTTTTGTATAATGGAAAGAAGAATTCCTCGCTCCCTAACCATTAATGAGTCGATGTGGTTTAAAGGAAATTTGTCACAAGAAAAATATCAAGAGGTATAAAATAATAATTTTAACATTAAAACTTTTATTGTACTATTCAGATGCAACATTTGGAAAAGATTAATGATGATACTACTAGTAAGTAACATAATTATAAATTTACATACCAATGTACACCATTAATTACCATGTATTGTAATACATCTTATTTTATATGTACTTTATATAGAGCCAACAATTCAAAGGGCTGAATCAGTCACAATTTACTCACCCACACAGATCAGTGAGTCCAATGATAATCAACAAAAAGGTATAACCACTCACTGTCACCAGTTTTAAACAATAATGTATTTATATAATAGTCATATTGACTATCAAGGATCTTGCAGAGATATTACAAGCGCTAAAAGATAGCCATTTTGAAGCTACAAAATGGTTTGATCTTGGTCTCTACTTGGGTCTGATCTATGGTGATCTAAAGATTATTGAGACTAACTATCCACAAAATATTGAGCGATGTCTCAGAGAATGTTTAGCATTATGGCTTACTGAAGATATTGAAGCAACATGTGACAAACTAGCTATTGCTGCTGGTGAAGTAGGAGGGACATCAGTTGCCACTATTGCCACTTCTATAAGTGAGATTATAATTAATCTAAATACTACTTCTTGATGCCTTCAATAATCCACCATCACTCCCCTTGGGTTGATTATATCTTTGTTGATTGACACATTTTAATAT